GATCAATTCATGCTACCTATGAAAACAATGTTATATCAATACTCCCTTTGCTTCCTTTCTAACCTGTAGCTAAGAATTGCCCTGAATGAATACAACATAGAATTGCCCACCAGCTCATCACCAGTATGTCTATGGGAAAACATCCTCCCAAATTAGAGGTGCTATCACAGGAGACAGTGAGAGAATTGCTTTGTTCGCTGCAGCAAGCATGTTTGCATAAACCATAATCACAATGGATTGCAAACTTGATTAAGAAGTGGAGCAGTGCTGCTATTCTAACAGAGTGTTATTTAAATGCAGGCCTGGTGAACTCCTACTGTGAAGGCTCCTAGGGGCAAGTGTTTCTTTCCTATTGAAAAAGCAACAAGCTCTCTGTTTTGTTTTCCACACACATAACTGTGGCAGAGTATGTCCTATAGGACACAACACTAAGCACAGCAGGGCTTCATTACGTGCTCTTAAAAGTGTTCTAAAGCACAAAAGGAAATATTCAGATATAAAAAAAATTCCCTTTGCTTCTGGGACATTGGTTTATGCAAAATCAAGGGGGGGAACCACATATACCTGCAGCAGCTTGCAATTGTCTTGATTGCTTAAGAATCAAAGGATCCTTTAACAAGGGATAAATGCAAGATGCCATTATAACCCAGTTTGCCTTCACCCAAAATATGGCTGATTTACAACTGCATATTAAAGTTACCTTGTAAAGCTATTTCTCTACCTTTTCTTAACATGAAGAAAATTAATAAGATAATTGGAGCAATGTGGATGATCAGANCTCACCACCGCCTCCTTTAAGGCTGCGGGGAAGGCACCCTCCCGCAAAGAAGCGTTTACAATTCCCTGGAGCCAGGCTCGTGTACCCTCCCGAGCCGCCAGTACCAGCCAGGAGGGGCACAGATCCAGTAAACATGTGGTTGCATTCAGCCTCCCCAGGATCCTGTCCACGTCCTCGGGAGCCACAGAGTCAAACTCCTCCCATACAACAGTCTCAAGACCTGCTCCCGTCTCCTCCCCCGGGGCCACCCAGTCAGAGTCAAGGCCTTCTCGGATCCGAGCATAGCATGGAATTCAGGAGAGAATTACACAGTTTTCACAGTGGAACAAGTGATGACCTCCCACACCTCTCCCATATACCCCTCCCCTCATGTTATGCATTTTATTCATCAATGACCCGGGGTCAGAAGATGAGCCCTGAAGTTGCCAAGCTTGCCAAGGACACTAAATTATTCAAGGTGGTGAAACTACAATTTGACAAAAGTCAAAGCAACCCCCTCAAACTGGATTAGGAAAACAGAGTTCTTTGCCAGATCTACAGGTAGCCTAAGCTCTAATGATTCAACAGGAAAGAGATATTTTGGTTGTGGTGGATAGGTTAAAAAAAAAATCATCTCAGCATTCAGTCACAGAAATGAAAAAGGCAAATGCTGTGTTTGGGAAGATCAGGAAATAGGTTAAAAATAGAACAGCAAGTGTTATAATGCTTTTATATAACTCAGTGGTGAGAGTGCAACTGAACTGTTGCATAAAGCTCTGGTAGTCCCATTCCAAACAATGGGATGTTCAGGCTGAAAAGTCTGAAAGATTTTAGATCAGAAAAAGAACCGTAAATGGGGAAACATCACTGAGACTTTACAATATTTGACAAAAAATGTATAAAAGTCATAAAAGAGAAAAGAATCCACATTAATTTCTTGAGCTCCTGGACAAATTGGAACAGAAAATTAGCAAAAGCTATATGCATTTCAAGGCATAGAGTTAATATCTTTCAAATAGCTTTCCCTAAAGGAGGAATAGGGCAGACAGACTGGTAATCATATAGCTGGAGTGGATAATAGTCAAGTTTCCAATTCACTCTAATTATGATACTGCACACAATCTGGTTGAAATTACTTCTCTCCACTCTCATACTGGCAATCCCTTATTTATGTTTTTATTGAGATTTGAAATTAGCACAGTACTGTGGTTGCCAATGCCCTATCAGTGGTTTTGTACTACAACTGGGCATACTAAATCAGTTGTACACCATGACCTGCTTAGCTCTAGAGCAGCCATACCTCTTAGCAGGGCTTTTTTTCTCATAGAACGCCCAGAACGGAGTTCCGGCACCTTTTTTGGATGGAACCTTGTAGGGTAAGGCGGATAAGGCAAGGCGGGTTGCATGACATGTGTGAGATCCGGCACCTTTTTTTTTTTTTTTTTTTTAGAAAAAAAGCACTGCCTCTTAGTATTTTAATAGCAAAAGGGGTTTAGTGTAAAGATATAAGTCAGGCTCGAAAGTTATTGTTCATTTTTAAACTAATGTATTTTCATCTAAAATAACAGGTGTATACTCCGTTTGAACATCTGACTGTAAATATTTTATTTGCATCTACTTATAGGATTGTGAAAGCTGCTAATATAGTATGGAGAAGCAATGGTCTGAAACTGGTCTAAATAGGAAATTTTGGGAGAATTTGAAAGGTTTGTTTCTCCCAACTGAAAAATGGGGAAAAATTGCTTCTATAAATACAAGGAATGCATGCATATATTTTTAGGGGCCAAGTTCAATTTATAGGGCAGAAAATTTCCTTTGTTTTAGGCCAACAACTCTGGAGGCACCACATTTAGAAAACGTGATTAACGTACCAGGATAAACAGTTCATTCCTTGCTGAATGTTACCTGTCTTATGTAGACCAGAATTTGGCCAAGAGCCTTTAGAAAATACTGAAGATATATAGCAATATGAAATATATGAAATATTACTCCATTGGCTTAGAGCGTCAATATTTCAGGAGTATAGATGGTTTTTGAAAGATTTATACTTAGAATTTTTTTCCCCTAACAGAGGAGAAAATTATATTGATACATGATGCATTGAAAAGGAAAGGGTGTTGTAGTCTAAAACAAGTCTTAAAAATAGACTGATTGTGAGAGGTAAAACAGTATTTCTACCTGTGTTGGGATTAGAATCTTATTCAACAAGAGAGAAGAATTCCTGCTACTGCTCCAGGAATCAAAGGAATCAATTGTAACTATAAAAAACTGTTCTACAATATCAATAAAAGCCAGTTTGATTCAATAGGAAAGAGATATTTTGGTTGTGGTGGATAGGTTAAAAAAAAATCATCTCAGCATGCAGTCGCAGAAATGAAAAAGGCAAATGCTGTGTTTGGGAAGATCAGGAAATAGGTTAAAAATAGAACAGGCTAGAAACAGGGAGACTGTGAATTCTAGTCCCACCTTAAGCACAAAGCTGGCTTTGTGATCTTGGAACAGTTTCTCTCAGCCCTAGAAAGAAGGCAGAGGCAAATCACTTCAGAAAAACCTTGCCAGGAAAACGGCAGGAACTTGTCCAGCCAGTCTCAGAAAACTGGCACAATTGAACAGAATAGAAAAAAAGAGGAAAGAATGTTAATAGATCACCCTTCCACAGACTGATTCTTTCCTTGCGATTGCCATCATTTCCAGCCTGCATTATTCCCAGTCAGGAATCACACTGTCAGGGTTAATGGGTGTTGAAGTTCAAAGGTTTTGGAGGCTTCGAACTGAGAAAGGATGAAATGAAACCTCAATGGGACAGTATTTTCTGACAGGGGCAGCAATTCTGCTATGAACTTTGAAGCAACTGCCTCCAGCTGAAAGTCATGAAAGAGGTGGAAATTATTCTTATTCACTTTGTGAACACTAAACTGAAGAACTGATGCTCTAGTGGAACTCCCCCCCCCCAGATTTATGGTTTCGGAAAGGTCTAGGGCAGGGGTCCTCAACCTTGGTAACTTTAAGACTTGTGGACTTCAACTTCCAGAATTCCTCAGCCAGCTTTGAAGTCCACAAGTCTTAAAATTGCCAAGGTTGAGGACCCATGGTCTAGGGCAGTGGTTCTCAACCTGTGGGTCGGGACCCCATTTGGGGTCGATCGACCATTTCATGGGGGTCGCCAAGCAAGGCTGTCCACCATTTTTTTTGTCTGCCATTTTTTTTGTCCGCCATTTTTTCCCCCCTTTTCCGGCGGGTGCCTTACCTCCCTTGGGCTGGGCCAGCTGCTGGTCAGCCTGCTCCAACTCTGTCGCTTGCCAGCTATGCCTCGGCCGGCACAGGGGGCGGAACCACACATACACGGCGCTCCCGGGCAGGGAAAGTCCTCGACTTACGACCGGTTGGGTAGTCCTCGACTTACGACCGGTTTAGTCCTCGACTTACGACCGGTTTAGTCCTCGACTTACGACCGGTTGGGGTCGTGGCATTAAAAAGGTTGAGAACCACTGGTCTAGGGAGAATGTCATAAAGCCAGGAAAAAGTAGCATAATTCATCATGCAGATGGGCGAAGTTGATAAATGACGCCTTGAATTTGAGGAGGGGGGATTTTTGCTTTGCCTTTCTAAAAAATTAAATTAATCCTATGTTAAGGCTTACACTGCCATTTCCTACAATTTCACACCTTAAATGACAAGAAACCATACAGCTTAATTTGGTTATTTTGATGAGAAAGATTGTAATAAGCACAAAAATGTGGTTCAAGGAGAGTATGTAACTATTGAGAATAGAATAGAACAGAACAGAACAGAATATTGTTTATTGGCCAAATATGATTGGACACATAAGGAATTTGTCTCCAGTGCATAAGCTCACATATAAACGGCAAGTAATAGGGTATAGATTATAAATCATAGTTACAATGATTAATCATAAGTTACAAACAACAATGAATAAATCATAAGAAATCAATAGGGGAAGATAGTAGAAAAGATGAGAAGATGAGAAAATATGAGAAATGAGACAGTGCTCTGGGAATTAAGTGTTCAGCAGAGTGATGGCATGGGGGGGGGAACCCATGGTTTTAATCAAAGCAGCACAGAATGCAGGGGTCTTAATAGAATGAACCACTTGTGTCATAAAGTCTGGCTGCTAGCTCAAGGCAAGAATTCGTTAAACCATTTCAACCATTTTTTTCAGTCATCCATCAATATCAATTAACTTGGATGCTGATATTAAGGGGCACCTGTAGAAGCTACTCACCTCATAGACATTAAACTGGCTTTGTCCTCGTGCCAGTTCTCTATAGCTGGTTGTAAACTCTCCAATGAAATCATGACTGTTAACAGAAAATAGGATTGTGAGAGGTGATATACAACAAAGATTCCTATTTCTTTATACTTTGGTCCAGATGAGGAATAACAAAACGTCATAGCCAATCAGTGGTAATTCTGCCTATTCCTCACTTCCTTAATTTGTATATACTGGTCCAACTGCCAGTATATGGAGTTCTGGTTTACTTTTCATTCTTCCCCATCATTTACTTAGACTCTTTATTAAAGTTGATTCATAAAGCCTTTACAAATCTAGGGGCTGTGAGATGTGTTTGGATTTATAATTCTCATCATTCTCAACATCAGAGCTAGAATTCTAGACTGGGGTAGTAAGCCTTTTCTCTTTTGTGGGGAACACAGGCCTGTAAATTCAAGCATGCTACATGCGTTTTCTGCATTTTATTTTCATTTAATTTTTATCAATGTAGGTTTTATTTTATTTTTTTAAAAAATGACTAAACGCAAGGAACTAAATGCTACTTACCTGCCATCTCGATCCCAGTCATACACTTCTACTTTTATGGTTCTGCAAAAGATGACATTAGTGGTCAAATTGCAATTCCTATTACAGTTTTCTTCTGAGAAAACCACTGACATGAAAAAGTGTCAAGTTGTGCATTAGAGATAGTATTTTTTTTTCTTTTTAAGAAAGCTGAGCAAGTAAGCCAAGTGGGATTTAGGTGATACTGTATTAAGACTATTCCAGCTACGCTAAATAGGACAAAATCTCCTAAGTAGGCCTACAACTACCCTTCTAGCCTTTTCTGGATAAGCATCTTGGAACCAACGTATTAAATAAGCACGTGCTTACATCAAAGTCTCTCGCCATGTAGGGAAAACGGAATTGCCAGGGGACAAACAACTCCCTATCTTTATTCTGACTCAACATAGAACATGATATGATTGGGCAAGGAAGTTTCTAGCCATGTAATAGATTATAAGGGTGCCAGATTGATGAGCCTTTTTTGCTTCCTCTGGACCATTCTGCTTGGCAAATTGAAGTATGTCCTTTACCCAGAGAGTTGGGATGCCCAAGATGACACACGGTTCTATTGGGAAAATGCCTGCCCACAATGTACTTGAAGGCAATCATTAAAAGCTTAATTTAGACAAGGCAGAGAATCCCCCCCCCCTTTCTCTCTTTCAAAAAGGGCAGTGGAGTTAATTTTCTTAATGAGGGGGTTTATTGCATTTTTTGGTAAGGTCTTCCCACTTGAAATTAATCACACAGTTTGGGAGTTCTCTTGGTCCTAGCTTGTTAATTAACGTTCAGATAACAGCTCTGGCCAAAAGGTTTCAGATGTGGAAAGGCAATAAAGTTACCCTGTTTCAAAAGAGGAAATGAAAATAAAATAGCATCATTAGCAATATGCATCTAGGCAGAAATCAAAATAATTTTCTTTTAAACCCAGGCTATCTACCTAGTCTGTGTCTTTGGATCACTTTCCTGCCAATACATAAACTGGAAATTTATTTTTCGGTGTTCCAAGATGAATAGGTGCAAATTAGTCAGTACACGTGATGTATCATTTTTGTGATAGCACCCCAAAATACTCAAAAGAAGCATTTTCTCTCTCTCTGAAGGTCTGATTTCCTGTCTTTTTTAGCCTTTTCTGGCAGGTGAAGACAACTTCAGACAGAATTTTGAACAGGTCTGGCATTTCACACTGCATTCCAATTCTCAACTTTTAGTTACATGTGATTTCTTTGCCTCTATTATCAGCTAATTATTTCTGTTTTCCTGTGTTTTTGTAATGTTTTAGTTACTTATATGTTTCTCTGTGAGATTGAAGGATGAGATATACATTATTGTATTAAATGCATATAAATTGTTGTTTGTCTTTAAAGTATGAGGAAGAAGGGAGATTTCCACACATGTATTTTATCTATTTTGTCTGGGTTACATTGGAAAGATGTGAACCATTTAAATGTTACTAAACAGACAGGCTTCTGAGACAAAATTTGCCAATGGCTGGTTGATATTATTTAACCCCAACAGTTTAATATATGCCTTACAAGGATGCCAGAGGTATTTGTTGTTCCCAAGTAGGCAGTGGGGACATTGGCACTTTTACCCTTGACTCCAATGCAATTTTCAATGTCAGGCACTGGTTATTCTCAGTAAATACTCCAGCCTAGTGGCTTCTTAAACTCTTGTTAGCAAAATGACAGTGATTAAATTGCCTGTGGCTGTATGTATGCTGACAGATGACATTTGAATTCTCAGAGGCACAGGAAGGAGTGGAGATGTCAGACCAGACTTGAGTTCCACTCGGAGCTCATTTGCAGAAACTCTGCCACATCCCCTCACCCTTGCCCGCTTCTGTGACTTGAGAATTGCTTTCTCAATATTTTCAGTGCTTCTTGAAGTCAACCAAAGTTCCAAACTATTGCACACACCAGCAATTTAAAGAAAAGGCTCATATTTATAAAAGCAAAGCAAAACAGAAGAATGGCAAACAATCCCAATATTTCAACTAGATCAGGGGTCGGGTCTCCAACCCCCAGTCTGCGGACTGACACTGGTCCACAGCATGCCAGCAAGCGGGCCGCACAAACAAGCAAAGCTCCATCCTCAGGATGCAGGCAGTATCAAAACCACACCCCCTCTGGTCCGCAGAAAAATCTTTCTCTATGGCACTGGTCCCTGATGCCCAAAAGGTTGAGGACCTCTGAACTAGATTATAATAGACGAGCAGAGATGGGCAACAATGAAAAAAAATCATTCTTGAAAAAGGTAAAACTTTAACGAGTATTCACTGAAGTCAATAAACACAACTGATAATAAGTCATTCTGTGAACTAGGAGAGATCTCACACACAAATGCCCTGAAAATGGCAAGTCACACCCTGGAAATAACATTCAAGAAGAGTGTCCTTTTACAGCATTGAGAGCCTGGAGACTGATTCCAAGGTTTTTCATACAATTACTGCATTCTACAAAATGTGCTCAAAGAGACTGATAGCTTGAGTTTTATTCCCTTCCCAAAAATGAAGAGTAATCCTTTCTAAAAAAAACAAGCCTGAGGTGATTTTGTTGGTAAACAACAATTCAGAGAGATCAAGTGAAGAATTTGCTGAGCTCCACTAAAGGCTGTTTTCTAAGCAATCAAGGTGGGGTTGGCATCCTTTTCTTGGGTTGCTTACTAAATGCATATGTGTGTACTTTTGAGTGTAGAAATCTGGGGAGATTTTGAAGAAAAAAATACTGTGAATAGTGTAGAATGCAGAGATTTGAATTATGTTCAGTACATTTGATCCTGGACAGACAAAATAAAACCTTCAGAAAATCAGGAATTCAGATGTACCTTTGTTTATTCTTAATTTTCCTAATATATTTTGCTGGCAAATTTCACAACTAAATCTTAGACAAACCAAATTCACTTATATTGTTATTCCTCTTCAATTTTTCAACGTTGACTGAAAACTTGCCATTTGATTTTTATTGCTAGCATAAACAGTATGCACCATTCCCTTAGTAGCATTCTATAAGTAAAGTTAGTCCCTTAGTAGCATTCTATAAGTAAAGTTAGGAGTACTGCAACTGGAAAACAAAGTACCCTTGGTAAAAATACAAAAGCTCCGACTGTCCCGAAACCTGAAATAAAAGCAATCCAAGTATAAACACAAATTTTTGAGGGAAAATAGTATGATGAGAACCTGGGAATTGGGCACCATATATATTTAATAAACTATTATGGGGATGGAACATGTCTTGTGTGCACATGAGTAAGGCAATTGTCACATAGCTGGGACTTAAAAGACATCCAGGTTTCACTTATATCCAAGCTTTTTGCATAGGATCTCAAGGGGATTTGCATTGCACAATTTCCTATTTTCCCCATACTACTTTATGAAGTAGGTTGGGTTGAGAATAACTTTCAATGAGCTTTCATGGCTGAGGGGGAACTACAATTTAAATCCCCAGCTCCTGGTTCAGTACCTTAACTGTAAAAAGTATTCACTGGTTCTCTGGATCTGCCTCTGGAAACTCTTCAGTTTCTTTCTCCCAGTTTTATATCTACAGTTGGTCCTTGAAGTCATGATGAAAAGTGGCTTATAACCAATCCTTGCACTTCCAACTGTTGCAGCATCCCTGCAGTCACATGATCATTATCCAGATGCTTAGCATCTGGCTTGCACTTAACAACAACTGGTCGCAGCATCCTACAGTCATATGATTGCCATTTGTGACTTTCCCAGTTGGCTTCCAACAAGCACAATCAAAGGGGAAGCTGGCAGGAGACTGCAAGTTGAAGTTGTATGAGGTATTGCTTAACAAGCAGGTGATTCAGTTAATGACTACAGCAAAAAGATCATAAAATTGGGTGCAGTCACATGATGCCTCACTTAATGACAGCACCACAATGAATTTTCTGGTCCTTATTGTGACTGTAAGTCAAGGACTACATATACTAACACCCGAATTTACTCTTTTTGCTGTTTTCTCCCATTTTTTTCTCTTTGCAGGTTGTTGAGTTTTCCCCCAATCAGTAAGTCTATTAGAGGGTGGTAAATGGTTAAAGAATGGAAAGCAAATGAGAATAAAAGGCTTTCAGATTAGATAAGTATGCAAAAGAGGGTCTATCAAGAACCTGCATCAGGATTGCAGTTTTGTTTTATTTCAAATGTTGATAAGTCACCAAGATTTTTGATGATGCCAATTTACTCAAGTTGATAACATCAAAATAGGATTAGAGAGAGCTTTCAAAATATCCCTCCTCTCCCCCTCTGTTGAATGGGCTTTAAATTGAAAATCCAGTTCAATGTAAACAAGTGCAAAGCAATGGCAACCTCTTGCAACACTTCCTGCCCTCAGATTTCATATATACAAAAGTGGGGGCTGAGTTGGCAGTAACTGATCAGAAACGATCAAGAAAGGGAACTTGGAATCAACAGTTCCATGAAAATGTCAACCCACATTAATCCTTGAAATCATTAGGAAGGAAACAGAAAACTGCCAACATGTGCCTTCAAGAAGCCTTGGGCTGAGGCAGCACTAAAAATAACCATCTAGTTCTATTTACTGCACCTCAAAAAGGATATTATAAAGCTGGAAAATAATATAAGAAAAGCAGTCAATATTGTAAAGAACCGAAGGAGCAATTACAAGCACAATGAAGGAAACCACAATCATGGGGAACAGCATATATAATTTTCACTTTACACAAAAGGGAACGATCTGGAAAAACCAGTCATAAAGATGTTTGGGTTGAACTACTAGACTATTACTTTTATAACAACATTAGGCATGGGAAGTAAGATGGTGATATATACCATTTTATGCTGTATAGAAAATATGATAGTTTCTCCAACAATATTAGATCCCAAAGTGATCTAATTAATATTACCACTGGAGAAATTCAAGACTTTCCTCAATAAAAGGAAGTAATTATTTACCCAACGAATAGTTTTCTGTTATCATATATGCCTACTGGCATTGAATTAACTGGTTTTCAAAGGGAAGAAAACAATTCATGGAGGATTGGGCAATGAATAGCTACACATGTTAATGCATTCGCAGATT